GTAATCTGCTTAGGCCATCGGCATGGCCCATTTCTTTTCCATGTTTGTGAACTAAAGGAACATGGACCATCTCAGCATACGAAGAGAAATGATATGCGGTGTCTGTTTGTTGGTGGTAAAAAAAACCAGCAGAGGCTTATGGTCTGTATAGACCGTGAAGTGGCGGCCATATAAGAAATCATGGAATTTCTTTATGCCAGCCACTATGGCCAAGGCTTCTCTGTCAATCTGAACGTAATTCCACTCTGCAGATGACAAGAGTCCTTGAGTAATAGGCCACAGGGACTTGTGTCTCATCAGCCTTCAGATGACTAAATACAGCTCCCACCCCATAAGGAGATGCATCGCATGCGATGCATACAGGCAATTGCTCATTGAAATGTGCTAAAACAGCATTTGAAGTGAGCAAGGCCTTAACCTCATTGAAACTCCTATCATGGACTTTAGTCCACTCCATGGAGCCTGCTTGTCTAAGAGCCTATGTAACGGCTCTGCCACTGCAGCCTTATGTGGAAGAAATGCATGATAAAAATTTAAAAGCCCCAAGAAGGCTTGCAGCTCACTCTTGGACTTGAATAGCTTGTAGTTTAGCTTCAGCAGGGTGAATGCCTTGGGCATCAATCCTGAAACCTAAGAAGTCAGTGAAAATGACTCCTATCTTGCATTTATCCTTCTTTAGCTTAAGGCCTGCTTTTCGAAAATGAAGCAAGACAGCCCTTAACCTTTCTGTTAAATTTTGAGATGACTCCCCAGCGATGAGGAATAGGGACAGACCCCAGGAATACCTCGAAGTGTGCTCTCCATGACACTTTGGAATATGCCAGGGGCTACATTTACCCCAAATTGCAGTCTTTTGACCTTGAAGGCTCCCCTGTGAGTTACAATAATCTGGGCCTCTGCAGCTGCCTCATCAACAGGTAGCTGTTGATAAGCCTGTGCCAGGTCAAGCTTTGCAAAAATGCACCTTCCTTCGAGGGAGGCCAGGATGTGGCTTACAACAGGGACTGGATAAGCATACTGTTGCAACGCCTTATTCAGTGTACACTTGTAGTCTGCACATATATGTATTTCCCCATTAGCCTTTAGAGGCGTTACTATGGGGGTTTCCCATGGACTAGAATCCACAGGTTCTAAAATACCTTGTTGGAGCAATTTGTCCAGCTCAGCATCTATTTTACCTTTGAGGGCAAAAGGTACCCTCCTAGGCTTGACCCCGATGGGCGTGATAGTTGGTCTAACCGTAGCACAATGGGGGGCCCCTTGTAGGATCCTAGCTCTGAACTAAACACATCTGCAAACTCCTTGCAGACTTCTGCCAGGCTCAATGTTTGCAAATGGTGCAGCCCAGTTACCTGGATTCCCAGAGCCTCGAACCAATCAAGTCCAATAAGACTCGTACATTCACCCCCAACTACCACCACATCTAGGGGACCTTCAAAATCCTTATGCTGTACTCTTAACACATACCACAGAATTCTGAAAATCAGTGAGTATTAGATTCGATGGCCTGAGCTTAACTCGAAGGCCACTGCTGCTACATATCCTTTTGAATGTGTTTGTAAGGACCCACCCCACTTTGCATCTTAAGAAGACAGAACTCTTGGATTAGTTCTTCCAACAGGCATGCTTTATTAAGAGAAAATGGTTGCAGGTGTTCTAAACAGGAGTTGGGGTCCAAGCTCTCCCCTTTAAGGTTTTAAGGGATTCCCCAGTAGCCCCACCCAATCACCCTCTTCTTCCAGCGACAGTCTCAGGCATTACACTCCCACTCCCTTTTCCTTACTGCCGGCTGATGGAGACTTCAGAGAGGAGTACATGAAAGGTAATAGCCCCATTGTTATGGTTAGTCCTTTTGATGATATCCACATCCAGTCCCTTTGAAGTGTACTGAAGGAAGTGAGGGCCATAAAGCCCCTTTGTTCACTCCCTTCCCTTCATCATATGACAGAATCCAGAGAAGGCAGGAATGGGGTTTTCTATAGTTGATAACTAGAGATGAAATATAATTGGATTCTGACAGTGTTAATTGAAATAATTGAGAGAGTGGACCCAGTGTCCAACTCCATTGATAAGGGAACCCCTTGCAACCTTACGTTAATGGAAAGTTTCTTCTTAAGGGGCTTGTGTGTCCGCTTCTGATCCTTCTCGAGCGTCCTCTTGATGGACGGTAGCTGTGTCTGGAGAGTTTCTGGTGAGCTACAAGGCCTTCACAGCCCCGCCTGCTGCTTCCTCAGCTGCCACCTCTCGTAGCGCGTCTTGGAAGGAAACATCTTCTTTTGCAAAAATCTTCTGTTGTAAGTCTCTGCTCCTCAAACTGCATACGAAGCAATCTTGCAGCCTCTCTTCCAGATCCTTGAACTCACAAGGCCTGGCCGCTTGCCTTAAGGCAGCCATAAAGTCCGCAGCAGATTCACCCGGCCTCTGGTCTCTCTGCTCAAATGCGTGCCTCCAACCAGTGATGGATAACTTTGGCTGGAAGTGCTCCTTCAACATCTTTTTCAAGTCAGTATATGTTACTGACTCTAGAGGTGCAGGGGCCACCAGATTTTCTGCAATGTCAAAAGCTTCTTGTCTACAGGCACACAAAAGAGTTGCTGCCTTCAGGCCATCTTCTCTTATCTGATTTACTCTGAAGTAGTTCTCCACCCGTGCTACCTAAGAATTCCATCTCTCTGGGTGAGAGACATCGAAATCAGACAAGCGGCCAATCTTCGACATTGTAAACTTTACGATCTTCACCAATCGCTTCCTCTGCAAGCTGTTGTATGGGAAAGGGTCCTTTAGCTGAGCTCACCCCCAGCAATGCTGTACTGGCAGGATGAGACGCTGATTCAGATGCCATTTTTCCCTTCGTCAGACTTCCTGGGTGAGTCCTTAAATCTTTTGTTTCAGCTTGCAAAGGATCCCACCTTCGTCCCCAGTGTTGAATCCTTAGTTTGCATGCGAATGATGAAGACACATGGTAACAGTTAACTACTCTTTATTCTCCTTCTCCAAGAACTGAGCAAAAAGCAAAAGGCACGCAGGCCTTTTTATATGGCCAGAAACCCGGATAGTGTCAACCAATAGGAACAGAGTGTTTTCGCGCCTTGCGCATGTGCACAAGGCTGTTGCTGCTCTATCTGAACCCGGGCAGCTTTTGGAATGCCCAGGGCCAATGCAACGTCCCGAGCCTGCTTTTGTTGTGGATTTAATCACACTATGAGTCTTATTTCACTTCCTGCTACTTTTTTATGTTATACTTTATAGTCATACTTTTAGTTACAGAAACAAAAAGATCTGATACTGTATTCTGTCAAAGTTGCTAACATTGGATGTTCTTACTCTGACAAAATATGCAGAACTGTGTGGTATTTTTCGAGTTAACTCAGAAGACGCTGGGAGGGGAGAAGGAAGAATGTATGAGTTGCAAACAGAAGAGAACCTTTGCCCTTCAAACTAATTGGAGAACGTGAATCATGAAAGCAAAATAAGGGAGGGAAAATGGTAGCAAAAATAACTGCTGGGGGTGTGTGGAGATTTCAGATCTTAGCATCCCCTCTTCATGCCATGCCGACATTTTGTCACATGAATAAAAATACTTTTTAGGAAAAACAATGCCTGGAAGTTCTTTGAAGTGTTTCATTAGTCGGAACCTTGACATTTGGGAACCTGAAAATATTATAGAAAATTTTATACAGATGCAATAAATAAATGAATACATACATACGAGGTAATCTTGCTATATACAAACGTCATGTGAATGTTCTACACATTTGTCAAACATTCTTCTGGCACCCGGAAATCTACAGATTTTATCATTGGTAGCCACTAGGGCAGTGGTTCTCAACCTTTTTAATGCCGCGACCCCCAACCGGTCGTAAGTTGAGGATACTCAACTGGTGCAGCACCATTTGCAGAATGGGACTTTTGGCGGGCTCAGCAGGGCAGAGACAGCCTGGACAATTCCTATTGGCTTTTGAAAGCCAATAGAATTAGACTCTATTCAAGAGAGTCTATTCTATTGGCTTTCGAAAGCCAATAGAATAAGAGGGAGTAGCACAGCTAAGGAAAAGGGGGAAAAAATGACTTGGGAAACTATTTGGGTGAGAAATGTTAAATTTACACAAGCCCAGAATTTAAGGGAGAATTTTTATAAAATGTTTTATAGATGGCACCTTGATCCACAAAAAATGTCTCGCATGTATCCTGACTTACAGCCTAAATGTTGGAGATGCGGATGTTTGGATGCTACTTATTATCATAGTTGGTGGTCGTGTAAAAATATAAAAGCCTTTTGAATTAAGATATGGTGGAATATTCAAAGAATTTTTAGAAGGAGGGTAAAATTTACCCCACAATTGTTTTTGTTAGGTATCGTTATTGATTGTGATACTAAGGAGACTATATTGATGTTAAATTTAATTACAGCCGCAAGGTTGTTAATAGGGCAATATTGGAAGAAGGAATCTTTGCCTACTTTGCAAGAATGGTTTCTTAAAGTTTCTTATTTGGCGGAAATGGCAAAGATTTTGGCTTTTTTGAAGGATCAATCGCAAGAGAAGTATGTTGTGGTATGGAAAAAATGGATAGATTTTATACAATATAAGTTAGATATAAAAAATATTATCTAGTTTTTTAACAATTTATATTCAAAATGGAATATTTTGGGGGTTTTTTTGTTTGTTTTGTTCTTCTTTTTTCCCTTTTTTCATTCTTTTCCTTTTTAAACATTTATCTATTGTATTCATGTTTTTTTTATATATATATTATTGTTAATCATTTTATAATTTTTCTAATTAATGTATTTAGATTTTTAATTAATGTTAGATTTATTTATGGTTTATATTTTTTTTTAAGATTTTTTGATGAAATTCTAATTAAGCCTATATCCAGCTCTGGGAAGGTCGGGGGAGGGAATGGGAGGGTTGGGGAGGTTGGGGGGAAGATTGTTTTGTTTTTGTTTTTGTAAAATGTCAAAATTTAATAAAAATTATCTTTGAAAAAAAAGGGGGGAAAAATGGCAGACTGCGTTGTTTGGTGACCCCCGTGAAATGGTCGTTCGACCCCAAATGGGGTCCCGACCCACAGGTTGAGAACCACTGCACTAGGGCCATGAGTAATAGGAACCTTAGCCCAACACAATAGCATTTGCTCCAGATGGGAGAATGGCTATTCTGAAATGTTTTTAAACCTCAAGATAAGAATAACAATAAAAGGTGCATAACAATAATGTATTTAATAATATAACATTTAATAATAAACAGTACTCTAGATAAGTAAGATTAGTCTTCTTCATCTTCCTCTCCCTCTTCTGAACTTCTATAGATACAAAAGGAATAAAAGATGATGTTACAATGTGCTTTTAAAACTACACAGTCACTTTTACAAGAAAGAGAAAGGTTAGAAAGAGAAGCAAAAGGAAGACTTATAGAGACAAGACGTATAAAACAAAATAAAAACAAAAAAATAGATCAAGTTAAAAATGGGAGACGTAATTAAGCTCTTTTCTATAAATATTAATGGATTAAATATATCAAGAAAAAGAGTTTAGACATTTAACAATTTAAGGAAATTGGATGTAGATGTGATGTATCTTTAGGAAGTTTATATAAAATAGGATTATAGAAAATTACTAGAGAAAGTAAAATTTAGAAACATTATACACAATATTAGCATAAAACAAGAAAGGAGGAATTATTATATATGTCAAAGAAAAATAAAATTAAATAAATATACTTGAATGAAAAGGGGTGAATTTTAATGTTGGAAATAGTATTAGAGTAAAAACAGTATATGCACTAAATAATATGAGAATATTTGTATGATCACCGTGCTTAGATGGAATTCCGGTCGAGTCTTATAAAAAATATGAGTGTTACTCCAATGAATAATGTTGGATTCCTAGTAAGTAGTAGAATACGAAAGAAGGAAAATGTAAATAAGAAACAATGGGGCAATAAGGACAAATATTTCAAAGAAGAAAGAGGGGGGAAATGTAAAGAATAGAAGAGTACTGTTACAAACTGCTGTTAACAAAAAAGGATATATTACGTGTGTATGTGTGTAATGTTTGATGTGTTTTGTTTTGTTTTGTTGGTCTAAAATAATAATAAATAAATAAAAAACTACACAGTCTTCTAATCAGGCTGTTCAACCTTTGTCAAGCTATTATATTATAATAGATTGAGTATCCTTATTCTCAGCTGCTTCTAAAGTAATATCCATATATTGAAGTGCTGGATTTTTTTTCTGAGAAGAGTAAGAATTTCAGTATTTCAGAGCTGTTGAATTTCTGCCATGCGGAGTAGTTACCATGCAGAAGAGAGCAACTGTACATAGAAAAGATCAAAGGCCTGTCACAATTCTGCTTCTTGATAACTCCTGCTTGGCTTTTCCAACTCCCTAAGCAGTTAAAGGTAGGAAGATAATAGAAAATCACTACTCCTTTTTTCGATTTCATGTCAGAGCCAATGACTCTGCCAAAAAGAGCTTGAAAAGAATATTGAGGGGTTATGAAAAACTAGGCAGGATGGCAAGTGTTTGGAGTGCAAGGGGTGTTTCCAACCATATTTCCAACAGAAAATAGAATGGACATGTTGCTGTTAGCCCTCTGCTAAGAAACGAAGAGGGGCTCAGTAAGCACCCATAGAATCTTCTCAAAACAGCTACTTTTGGTCTGGCAGCATCACTTTCTATCTATGATAGGGATAGGGAAAGAGAGAAGTGAGGCCCTAAGGTGAGCAGCAAAACAAGCTTCCAGAGGCCTAGTGCTGGCCTTCCAACAAGATTGCAAGATACTAGCACTAGACCTCCCCATGGCCTTCCCCACCCTGAGGTAGCTTATGTGCATGTTTGCCCACACATTAAATTAGTGAATGCTTGGGCAAAAGGAGGGACTGATCTCATTCGATATATGAGATTCACTCCCACAAATTCTTGAGTTTTAAATGGAATGGGCAGGCTCCATTACATTCGTAACTTGTGGACTACCTGTATATATTTTAACATATGATCCCCTGAAATGAATATATTAAGAAAATCTGGAATGTCAGGTTTTCATGTGCAAATTCTTATACTCCCTTCCTGAATTGCAGTGTTGCTGGGCTAGATTTTTCAGAAAGGTCTTATATTTTTTCTGAGAAGATCTAGATCTGACAAATATAGGAGAACCACCTAAAATCATTGAAGCTTGAAGCTAATTTTTCATATCCACTAAATGTACCTTTGCTTGGTACATCCTGTATTCTAGCAAAGAAGCCACAGAAAGAAAATCTTCTAAGAAAAAAAAAACCTCCATTCCTCTTTATATTTTTATCCATTTTAATTATACAGTGCTCTAGCAGAGGGCTTTATTAATTTACCAAGCACTTCCATTTCTAAAAAGAGCCATTTGTCCATAGGCTTACTGTGAGTTTTCTGAATGTTCTTCAAAGAGTAAATATGGGATCCAATTTAAACACAAATGCAAAAGCAAAACTTGAAAAAGCCCCCAGTCTGTTAGATTCAGAGAGAAAGAAAAATGATAGGAAATTACATCCACGTGTATGCAACAGAAATATACAAAAAGAGGATCTGCTGCTTTTTGCAAAAGATGTTTGATACTCCAGAACTGGAAAAGATAAAAATTGCCTTTAAATAGTAGAACTGAAAATCTTTTGAAATAAAACTGTTGGAGTAAAGCATAAAAAGAATCACCTTCAACAGTTAGGTTGAAGTATGGTATAGTATAGTATGGAACTTTCTCCATCCACAACCCCTACATGAACTGGATTATAGTTCCCATCATTCTGGTCCTTAACTGAGGACATTAAGAGCTATGATCTAACTTCAAGAAAACAAAAATATTATCTTAGTTCCTTAATTTCTGTCACAAACTTTAAAGCCATCCATTTGATGTGGTCAAAAATGTTGTCTGCTCTTTCCTAAATTGCTAATCTTTTACTACAAAGGTGGCTTTTGCACTTTTCTAGTTTTTTCCCTTCCTTTTCCTATCTCCTACTAGAACTTCTTTCCACTCTTGCACAATGAAATAAGCAGCTTATGAAATATTTTACACATTTGGTATCCTATAAATGTGTATCAGCAGATGCATTCTGAACCACTTCAAAAATTCTTAAATAGAAATAATTCTGATTTGCACACTGCAGCTACTTACGTTTTCTTTGAAGTGCCTTCTTCTTCTGTTTCTGAAGTGCTGATAAAAAATTAAAAGCAGAATTTAAGCATTGCTCTGACAGCAGCTGAATATTTCTTCATTCCCTGGCAAGCTTGGCCAAGTCATTTATTTGTTTATTTATTTGATATAATTGCCATCTGTCTTGTTTCAAAGCGATCCTGGGATACTTACAGCATTGAAAGCATTAAAACCATTTAAGATAAATATTTCTAAGATGATAAAAATGGTTATAATCAAACACAAAGTTAATAAAGGAAAGATAACTAAAAGATAAAAGTCGGGAAGAGAAGGAGCAGGATGTACAGTGGGAGAGATATGGGGTTCTCCAGCATGATTGGATGGAGAACCCATGGATGGGTTGTCTTAATCTATCTGCTCCAATTAGACTAAGTCTGAAATTTAGTACCGCCCCCTCTGTGCCAACTGCACCCCAGTTTTAGACTTAGTCTCTTTGCTCTAAGACGCGTTTTTTCTTCGCTCCTGGAGCAGAAGACTGTGTATTTTCCCTTTTTCTTATTCTGTTAGCCTAGCTCTAACTACTCATTTTTCATTATTTAATTGATTTCATTAATTAATTTCATAATATAAAGAAGATTTCCAGCGAGTGGAATCATCCTCAGCTGACTGCCTGGCCGGGCTGACAGGCTGGGCATCCATAGACCCTTTTTTTCCTCTCCTCTTCTGAGAGCTTCCTTGAATTGCTGCTAACAGAGCCAAGCTCTAGTCTGACTTTTACAAGTGACTGCAGCTCTGGAAGCTCCGAAACTTCACCGAGGCCTGAAGGCCTTATCGGGCCTAGGCCAATCTCAGCGCCTCCCAGCTGACCATCCAAACACCCTCCGCTGCGTTAGGAGCCCAGGCGATTCTCTGGAACGAGGGCTCATCGCAGCTTAGGCCTCAGGCCTCACAGGCCTTCCTTCCAACGGCCGTTTTTGGCACGCAGAGCTGCGGCCGCCATTTTGAATCACCTCCCGGTGGCCATTTTGAGACTTACAGAGGCCCAGACTGCCTGCAGGAACATTCCAGAAGGCAGTTTCTGACAATTTGAGGCAGAGGCCTCTAAAATTGACGAACCTTTCACAGGCAGATCAGATTGGGGAGGGCAAGCTCGTTCCAGAAGGACGCACTGCCTACCAACCCCCCATTGCCCACCCCCCTCACCGGGCTGGATCATCTCTGCTGGGCTCCCTTAGTAAGTTACAACGCTGAGGGGGGCGTTTTTGCTGAGGTTGAGCCCAAAGCAGATTCATCATGGCAGAAAAGTCTACCAACGAGCCGGCCAAGAGGAAACATACTACTGAGGCAAGTGGAAAGAATAATTCCAAGTGAGCCAAGTCAAGCAGGGAAACCACTAATCCACAGAGGGCAGCCTCCCCAGGTCAGACAGGCACAACGGGAAGGTCCATTTTTGAACCCCTTTCCTCACATTGTGCCTCAGCCCCAGGGGCCTGGTCTCCCCCCAGGGGAATTTCCCAACCAGAACCAGCCACAAGAGCGGCTCCAGGGACAGGCTTGACTAGCCAGGATACCCTTAATTTGGGCCCTCAGGCCACATTCACCCCCACTGCAGCAGGCTTCGCCCTCCTGAGAACCAGACTCTAAACCGGACTACCTTCAGTCCATGATAGCCCAGGCTGTGGCTCAATTCATGGCTTCCAACGCCCAACAGCCACCCCCACAATCCATGTATCATTCCCAATCTCCAGATATCATGGATGAACCTTCATCAGATCTAGAATCAACAGGGGCTGAACCATCGGGCCTGATTATGTCAGAGGACGAAGGTATCACTTCATCTAACCCCACCCCTCCTGTCGGTCTCTTTGACCATTCACTTTTTAATTCCCTGCTAATCAAGGCCTGCACAACTGCAAACCTCCCTCAAGAGCAGGAGACCCCACCTACAACATCCAAGGGTCCCCACGCCATAGGGGAGGAGCCACAGCAGAGGTGGTCCTTCTCCTGGACTCTGCTAGCCCAAATTCCTTGGCTGGCGGGGCCTGCAGCTTGTCTCCTCTGCTGGCTTGGTGGGGTCGGCTAGCCACAATGGGGTGAGATTGTTCCTCAAGTAAACTGGATCTATGCCATGCAGGTCTTTAAGGGTAATAACTAACACTCTGAATTGCATCCGCAAGTAAACCAGCAACCAGTGCAGCTCACAGAGCAGTGATGTAACATGGGTCTCTCTAGAGGCCCCAAGAACTGCATGGGTTGCAGTAGCCCTTACATCAGTTGATGCTTGCATGTAAGCTTGCTTTTTCTATGGATTCTCCATGCACTGGATCTATCATTTCAGTCCTTTCATTTCAAATACTACTGCCTTTAGACTAGCTTTTCTTTGTCTCTCCAACAGCAGCCATTGAGGATTTTATGAACAGGACATCAGCAAAAAGATGCTCTTTAATCTCACGGTGTGGTCTCTTCTGTTGGGCTTGGAAGAAAGTCAACTTCACATTTAAGCCTTCTTATCCAAGCCCCAGTCAAGTTGGAACATACTTTGCAGGTAAATGAATTTGTGGCAGAAGAGGACAATCCTCTTTTGTGCACAGCATCAAAAGGCACTTCTCCCATTCTCCATTGTGCCAGCAAGCAAAGAAATTTTGTAGTGTCATTAACTCAATTCCCTTACAGCTAAAGAGAGTGAGAGTGAGAGGATTTTTGCATCAGCTAGGAACTCTTATTTGGGTTAGTGAAATAGGACTGTCTGAAAAAAAATGCAGATTTTTGCCTTATATTTTCAACCAGATTAGCAAGTGCTAGCACTAGGAGGCATCCTCTGCTTCTTAGTTCTGCTTCCCCCAATAAGAATTTAACTCAGAATGCTCTTAGAATCTGAAATAAGTTCAGCTACTAAAAATGAACCCTTTATTTTTTTGCATTTTACACTACTACAGTACAAGACAAATTAGGATATTAACATTCTGTAGGCAGTGTATTTTATATTTAGTTTGTATATGCAAAGAGTTTTGGGTGTGTAGTGAAAGATAGAATACAATACAGCTGGAAGGGACCTTGGTGGTCTTCTAGTCCAGCCCCGTGCTCAAGAAGCAGAACCTATATTATCTCAGACAAAAAAACCTCTTAAAAAACAACCTGTGATAGAGTACCCATGATTTCTGAAGGCAAGCTGTTTCATTGGTTAATTGTCCTCACTGTTAGGAAGTTTCTCCTTAAATCCAGGTTGCTTCTCTCTTTGATCAGTTTCCAGCCATTGTTTCTTGTCCTGCCCTCTGGTGCTTTGGAGAATAAATTGGCCCCCTCTTCTTTATGGCAGTCCCTCAAATACTGGAATACTGCTATTATGTCACCCCTATTACTTCCTTTTTTTAGCCAAACCGAAATCCTGCAGCCATTCTTCATATATTTTAATCTCTAGACCTTTGTTCATTTTAGTTGCTCTTCTCTGAATTTTTTCCAAAGTTTCAACATCTTTTTTGTAGTATGGTGACCAAAATTGATTGCAGTATTCCAGGTGTGATCTTACTAGGGTTTTATAATGTGGTACTAATACTTTGCGTAATCTTGATTCTATGCCTCTGTTTATATAACCCAGGATTGTGTTAGCTTTTTTGGCTGCAGCTGCATACTGCTGGCTCATATTCAAGTGATCATCCACTAGGACTCCAAGGCCCCTCTCACAGTTACTGTTTTTGAGCTAGGTCTTGCCTAATCTTAATTTTGGAAAGATATTGTGCAATGGTTCTGAGATAACATCTGCCAGCTCCTTCAGAACTCTGGGATGCAATCTGTTGGGTCCCAGTGATTTATATTCTTTGAGGTCAGATAGGTGTTCTCTAACCATTTTCTTGCTTATTTTAATTTTTATTTTTAGATCGTCTTTTACAGTAGTTTTTTTGGTATGTTGGGCTATAATTTCTTTTTGTTAATTTTAATAACAATGAAACTGCAGTAGTAATAGTTTATATTAGATGTTGTTTTAAAGAAATGCTACTCACTCTGTCTTCGGAGGAGTTTCGCTGATGGGAGTCTCTTTTTCAGATCTGACAAAGAACAGACAAACATTTTAGCAGAACAGAAGTTAAAAAGAACTCTGGTGCAGTTAAGATTGTCTTCTTCCAAGGAAATATCTTGGAAGAAAAAAGTTCTAAGTTAAAGAACAGCCTTGACAGACTGTAGTACTCACTCAGTGTTTGGAAAAATTTCACTCATGGGAGACTCTTTTTCAGACCTGACAAAGAACAGAAAGACATTTTAACAGAGCAGAAGTTAAAAAGAAGTCTGCTGCAGCTAAGCTTGTCTCCCTACCAGGATGGGAAGGATGATGGCTCATTTGTTTTCAAATTTCTTAAAATGGAAGGAAGTTTTAACCTAGTTTTTCTCAATCTCAGCATCTTTAAGATATTAATCTTAAGCATGGCTGGCTAGGAAATTCTGGGAGTTGAAACCCAGACATCTTAAAGGCCCCGTGACTGAGAAATCCTGCTAAAGACAAATTGTCCTCTGGAACATGGCTACCATGAGCTCCAATCTATTGCAGAATTTTTTTTCTCCTGGACAAATTAAACAAAATATTGCTCCATCCCAATTTGCTTGCCTTTAGATACTGCTAGCAATTTCTAGAGACCTCTCTTTGTCTAGCAACTATGAAGCACAACCATTTTATATAAATATGATTTATAAATTCAATAGCAATTGCACAAAAACTTACATACAATACTTTACAACTCTCTCTAAGCGGTTTATAGAGTCAATATATTCCCCCAACAATCTGAGTCCTCATTTTACCAACATCGGCAGGATGAAGGCTGAGTCAATCTTGAGACAGTCAGGCTCAAGTCAGGCAGTAAGCAGTGAGTTAGCCTGCAATACTGCATTCTAACGACTGCGCCACTGTGGGCTCTTTCATAAATTCAATGAATTACAATCTAAGGGTGGATCAACCTTCAATTAAATAAATAAGATCCCACATGTATAACTCTACAGCTACTCACAATTTCTTTGAGCTGGCCTTTTTAATAGGCTCCAGAGCTGGAGCTGGAGCTGGAGCCGGAGCCGGAGCTGGAGCTGGAGCTGGAGCTGGAGGTTCAGATGGAGCCTTGGCTGGAGGTTCAGCAGCTGCTGGTGCTGGTGGTGGCATTAGCTCCCTAGGAAGACAAAATAGAAACAGAGATTAATCCAAGTTTAAATGGGTTAATAAATATCAAAGTTGTGATCTTTTGTTTCCTTGTGTGAACCCAGCATTTCACATTTTCTCTAAAGGAAGCAACAATCGTATAGTTGCTAGTTCGCTTTGTTGCAAAACCCAGGTGTTGCCTGCATATTAGAGAATGCTTGTGTGTACCCAGGGCCTTATCTTCATTGCATCTCAAGTCCAACTTTCCCAAAATGCCTAAGCAGACTCTTGATTCTTTTTTTCAAGCTTTTAATTCTTATATACATTTACCGTAAATGCCGGCGTATAAGATGACTTCCGCGAACGCTGAAATCGGCGCCAAAGACGGGGGTTGTCTTATACGCCGAGTCGTCTTATACGCCGGAAATACTGGTAGTTTCCGGCGTATAAGACAACGTTCTAGGAATGCGGCCCGGCTATAAAGACGGAGGTCATCTTATACGCCAGGGCGCCTTGTACGCCGGCATTTACGGTATTTCTTTTATGTATTCTCATTGCTTCAGCTTGTTAATTCATAGCTGAAAGTAGGAATTAAAGGATAACTGGGTTAAACTGTTGGACCAGGTGTGGGGAGACCCAAGTTCAAATCTCCACAAATGTCATGGAGTCCTCTGATTTGGAGCCAGTCACTTCCTGGGATAAACTTATCTCACAGGATTGTTGCTGTTGGGATAAAATGAGGGGGATTCTCCTATATGCTACCTTGAGTTCACAGAAAAAATTGGTAAAACACATGTCTAACAAATAAAAAGAAAAACAAATATTTCTCTAGCATTGGTACCAGAAGCTGATTAGTTGAAAAATAGTCATGTCTCTTCTATATTTCGAGAGACTGTTAACAATTCTAAAGGAGAAGATGCAATAAAATAAACTAATTTTGGCCCATATGAAATCTGTATTTGTCACTGAACAAAATAGGGTCTTTTTTGTTTTGTTTTGTTTTATTGAAAAGTTTTATACAAGTTTTAAACAATATCCCCCCCTAAAATAACCCCCTCCCTTCCTCCCTCCCCCCCTCACTTCCCAGAGCTGGTTACAGGGTTACAAATAAACAAGCAAATTCTAAATAAACTTATCCAACTATACAAATAATAAAATCAATAATATACTTTAACTCAAATACAAAACAGGAAAGAAAAAAATTAACAATATAAGCATTTCCAAATTAAAAACTGTAAATAATTCATAATCTGCATAATGCATTTTAAACCCATATCATAACCCATATTTACTCTACATATAATTTATCCATCTCCACCTCGCTGAGGTGTATATTTTTTTAAACAACCATTCGTCCATAATAAACACAAAATTTCCCCTCCAATATAACCTAACCAACAAACTTACGTTCGATAAAATTGGCTCTTTCCCAAAAAAAAGAGAAAGTGAAAATAATTCTTTAAAATTAAAGTCCAAATAAATCTAAAAAGTAAAGATTCCCCGATCAGCTTTGTCCGCTTTTTTTTAAAATAACTCACCAGTTCTCTTTAATCGCAGAGGTGGGAGCGGTGTCTTGCTTTGTCCCGAACGACAAGGAACAAAGACAGCTGAGAAGCGGAGATTCCCTGAACTCCGTGGGAGCACTCTTTTTGCCCCCCCCCCAAAACTTTTTGGGGGGTTTCAGAGGCTCTACCACTATTCAGGGTAAAACTCCCCTCCTTCCTTTAGCCCAGGAAGGAGGTTTTAAACCGTGGAACAGCTGATATCTGCTGTCCTCGGTGGTTTTAACGCTATCTCAGAAGGACGGCTAAAAAATAGCCGCCATTCACATCGCGACACCACCGGAAGTCGGATTTCATTATTAACAAACTAAAAACCATGGCCTTTTTTGTCTAGCTTAAATCTTTTCTTCATTTGTTAATATGTAAACCATTCTTCATTTGTTAATATGTAAATTTTTCCCTAGACTTGAGGATGGGGTCTCCAGAATTGAAAGATACCATTTTACCATACATCCACTAGTCCGGCTTCACCACCATTTTTTTTCTAAAAAAAAAGTTTCTTGGGGGACACCCATAGGGGCAATTTTGTAAAAAACCTTGTTTTATATTTATTCCAAATTCTTAATATGGCGCGTCTAATAAAATGATTATTAAAATCAACATTAAGGTTTGAATGACATGAGTATTAATGGTATGATAAAGTCAAATATAAAGGATTTCTATTGCAGTTCCTTTAGGACTGATGCTGAACCTGAAAGCTTCTACTCGTTAAAGGCACATCTGTTCACACATCATATTGATGTTCACTCCTGGAACTGGTTGGACTTGTCCCTGCAGTTTTCTTGGAAAGATTTCAGAAGTGGTTTGCCATTCCCTCCTTCCCAGAGAGTGACTGATCCAAGGTCACCCAATTGGCATAAGGTGAGACTAGAACTCACCATCTCCTGGTTTCTCTCCTGGTGCCTAAAACACGGCATCAAACTGGATCTCTATCAATTGTAGCTGTTTCTAAAATGTTAATTTAATTTTATCCTCACTTTTGGATTGCTAAAATATGAGGAAAATATAGTTACATTTGAAAAATAAAGCACTGTATTGCAGGTCATAAGCCCCTATATACATAGTATAAAATACCTAATATATTCAAAATTTAAAACATTCAATGAAGTACCATAACTGTTCTTACAATACCTTTAACTCTGCTCAGTTAATTCAATTATGTTGGAAACAACTCTTCTAATAATTTTATTTCAACAAAAATGCAGAAGAATTGCTGTGGTGCTTGAAATTTTAAACAGGTAAACAATATTAGTAAAGTAATCTCCCTTTAATTCTTTGTCAGTAAATATAAATTTAACACACAAATATTAGTAACTGTTTTGTAGCACATGTAGTTACTTACAGTTTTTCCACAGGAATAAGCTCAGGGATTTCTGGAGGTCTGATAAGTAAAGAAGAGCAGAAATTACAGAGTTTGTTGTAGAACAATAAGGTGTAATTTTTTTTTTTGCAACTTGTATGGTTAGTTTTAATGTACAGTTTTTGTATAAGAAGGTTGTAAACAAACTTATTTTCAAAACAATATTACATACATTTCCTCTGCCTATGTTCAGAGAAAACAGCCACAGCCAGAAAAGCAAATTAGTATCCCCAGCAAACTATAGAAACAACCGAATTTTGCAGTCTGCAAAGGCAACATCTACAGTTTCACACATTATTAATTCTTGCAGTATTGTTGTGGTTTTTTTCGATGGAAGAAAAAGTTCTATAGAATGCCACACTTTTACCTCTATTCAGTTTATTTGCAAAGAAAAGCAACTAAGATGATTAAAGGCCTGGAGAGTAAAACATATGAAGAACTATTGCAGAATTTGAGAATGGAAGAAGAGAAAAGAAGGACTAGGGGGGACATGATAGCAGTATTCCAGTATTTGAGAGGCTGCCATAAGAGGAGGAGGTCAATTTATTTTCCAAAGCACCAGAAGGCAAGACAAAGAAATAATGGATGGAAACTAATCAAGGAGAGAAGTAACCTGGAATTAAGGAGAAACTTCCTAACAGTAAGGACAATTAACCAGTGGAACAGCTTGCCTTCAGACGTTGTGGGTTTGTAAGAAGAGACTGGTCAGCCACTTGTCTGAAATGATATAGGGTCTCCTGCTTGAGCAAGGGACTGGACTAGAAGACTTCCAATATCCCTTCCAGCTCTATTCTGTTCTGTTCTGTTCTGTTCCACTCCGTTCCGTTCCGTTCCGCTCCATTCCATTCCACTCCACTCCACTCCGCCCCGCCCCGCCCCGCCCCGCCCTGCCCTGCCCTGCCCTACCCTACCATATTATATTATATTATATTCTTCTCAACATTTGCCTGGCTGCTCATAATTCTGGGTGGCTCATAACAATGAAACCAATAACTATAAGACCCTAAAATGAGAACAAAAATCCGTCTTCTCAGTCATCCCATTGGGATGTACCACTATCAGCTTCAAACATTCTTTCTTCCATCCCTGCACCCAGGTAAAAACTCAGGTATTGACAGCCTTCCAAAAGGCTAAAAGACTGAGGGCTTGCTGAATCATTTGGGGAAGAGTATTCCATAAGGTAGGCACAGCCACAGGAAACGGCACACTTCCAAGCTCCCACTAGAGGGCAGGACTTCAGGGAAGGGACCTGGAACATACCTACCCCATCTGATCTGGTAGGATGGGCAGATACTGTCAGGGAGAAGTGATCCCACAAATATCCTGGTCCCTGCCATGTAGGGATTTAAAAGTGACAACCAGCACCTTGAATTACACCCAGAAGGAAACGGGGACAGCACACCTCCTACCACAGAAGTGTAACACGGGCAAACACAGGAACACCCAATACTGCACGTGCCACTGTTTTTGGACCAGTGCCTTCAAGGGCACTTGAAATGATCTTCAAGGACAGCCCCATGTAAAGTGCATTGCAGTAATATAAATTTGAACAAATCCAAATTTGTCCCAAGAATTTTGTAATGAAAAAAATAAAGATGTCCTCTAACTTACAAAATGGGACTATTCCCTCTATAATTTTACTTTGGCCATGTCATGCAGGGGAATTCACTGGAGAAAGCAAAGGTATTTGGAAGAGTTAGTGGTAAAAGGAAGTCAGGTCATCAAAGAACATGTGGCTGGACACCATCAAATCTGACATTAGCCAGAGCAGACAAAAACTCAAAGAAGTTATTGCAAGATCAGAAGATATGGAGAGGATTGGCCCATAGAATCACCAAGAGTTGGACATGACTGAATGCATCATCATCATCATCATCATATTTTTTTTCAGTTTCTTTCTTGAAATATGCGCCAAAGGGAAAAAGAAAAGGAAAGGGAAAGGAGAGGGGAGGGGAGGGGAGGGGAAGGGAAGGGAAGGGAAGAGAAGAGACAATACCTTGCACTAGCCCAATTGTATATGTTTTCCTCTTCTGAGGACTCTTCATCATGTAATTTATCAATCATGTCTTTTTTCCTTATGTCCTCCAGAGGTTGATACATATCTTTAAACCAAAGAGGCTTTTCAAATGACGATGCTGACGTCTGAGCATGAGGAAAGGATGTTTAAAATGATCATAAAGCTTCAAAGATTTTAATTTACATGTTGCATTATCATTTTATTTGTATCTCAAATTCCAATTCGTGGAATGGAGGTTCTTCCTGAAGGAATATGTGACTAGCAAATTAGAGCAAACTTAATTGTGAACTCCTAATTAGGTCACCAGTTTTAGCTCCCTCTTTATCTATGATAGGGAATCCTGGAACATATTTTGTACTTCTGCCAATTAGTGTTAGTAGCCAGTAACCTTAGTAGTTAGTAGCTATAATTAAAAAAAGTTCTCCAGTCCTAGTATTCCTAAATTTTGCAAGTGGTGTTGGGCTTAATATATGTCATTTAATTTGGGTTTAGTTATGATCTATGAGCTGAATGCATGCTTTAATGTTGTTTGGGAATGAGGCTTTTATCAATTCATCTGGTTGATACAAATATACTTGAAGTATACAAAACCTCTACAAGCCATGTTTGTTAATATTGGTATATTTAATAAGTCACAACTGGTTGTAGCAAAACTTTTCTTCTGAAAAGATCCCATAGGAATAATAGACAAAATACATAAAACTGTACAACATGGTTTGTTTACTTGACTCAATACACTTCACACATTAAGTTATAAACAAGCCATATTTTCCCTTCAATTTTTTGTGAATCCAGCCATTGTGATTTATTCCAGAAATAATTTTCTGGTCATTCACAGTTTGGCACAATGTGGGAACTACAGTATGTCATAAAAATGTCTACCAAAAAGGTTCAAAATACTGCTTTTTTTCTAAATACTATAGCATATATTTGGACATTTCAAGTTGTCAGTCATCTAGAAATCACAGGTATAGGACAGGCTGGGATCAAGACCATTGGTTATTACAACTGTCTTTTTCTCCCTCTACACAGAGAAGCCAGAGTGGTTCTGAATTACTTCTATGTGGGTAGAAAACCAGGGTGCCTCCTGTTCCTGAAGACAACAGATTGGCTTACAGGATCCAGAAGAAATGGAGACAAGTGAGGGAAACTGGCAAATTCAGGAGGAATGACTGGGAAACTGCCATCTTTATCCACACTAGTGTCAACATGGAGTGATGGCTTAGATGACTTTAAAATTCAATGGGTGACTTTAAAACAGGAACAGTTACATTTAGAGAGTACAACAGATGGCTCTAGACATCAATTGCCAAGTAAAAGCCAACCTATGTTAAACACTGCAACCCAATCCTAAAGTATACGTACTCAGAACTAAGCCTCATTGAGTTTAATACACTCCCCAAATGACAGGATTATTTATTTATTTATTTAAACAAATTTATGTAACTGTCTGATTCACACATAAGTATTCCAGGCAGCTTGCAAAATCTGCAAAAAATCCACCATCCGGTCACACTATTATTATTTTATTATTATTATGGATCATCGCACAGTCAGCCAGATGTTCAGACTGGATTTGGCATTTTGTCTACCTATCGAGTCCTTACCCAGGACCTGGGATAGGCAGATGTGGATGTTTGATGGTATTACAGATATCGTCGCAGGATGGAAGCAGTTCATAGTAAGGCCGCCTTTTGCAATTGACTAATAGTGAATTTGTCAATGCCAATGGTGTTCAAGTGGTGCTCCAGTTGTTTTGGGATTGCACCCAAGGAGTCTATTACTATTGGTACTACCCTTGCTAGCTTTTGCCACAGTCTTTCTCTTTCTATTTGTAGGTCTTTGTATTTTTTTATCTTCTCCAGTTATTATTATTATTATTGTTGTTGTTGTTGTTGTTAATTGCGAAGTCGTGTCCAACCCATCGCGACCCCATGGACAACGTTCCTCCAGGTCTTCCTGTCCTCTACCATCTTCATTATTATTATTATTATTATTAAATTATTATTAAATTCAGGCTTGCCTAAGCCACATCTATCATACTTGTGGGGCCATGTTGTTCAGATCCAATAACTAAGTAGCAGATCACCAATGGTCACTTATGCATTTACACACCTGTTTTTCAAGTGTACCCCTCTCCATTCTATCCAGAAGTGTCCTTAAACAAACAATTAAAAAGAAAAATGGTGAGATCCTAGCCTGAATAAAACCCTTTTGACAATATTCAAACAAAACGTGGCATATATTTCTGTATTGGAAGATTACACAAACTCTTATCATTTATATGAAAGATGTATACCCTGTTTCCCTAAAATAAGCCTCAGTTAAGATCATCAGCCAGACAGACGCATTTAGTACCATATTTTCTCCAAAATAAGATCTAAGTGGAAAATGAGCCCTAATGCTTCTTTTGGAGCAAAAATTAATATAGGACCCGATCTTATTTTGGGGGAAACATGGTATATATTTCTCTTTCTCAAAATGGACTCAAAAGGCCTTTTCAGTCACAAGACACTTCTGTGCACGTAGAAGCAGTGTGCAGGTAATAGAAAGCTTAATTGCCTCTTATGCTGAAACACACACTGGCAATTGTCTCCCAATTTTTAAGAGTGCATGTTGCAGGTAACCATGTATTTCTTTGGGGATTTTTGGCTTTGTTAGCATGCACGCTTACCTTGGCAATCTCAAGTTTAGCATTAGTTCAGCACTAAAAATAGTTTAAAGGTGCCAAGAGGAGAGGGGGACATATGGGACCAGTTGGGGAATGTAGCAGGAAGCCAATGCTATACATACAAATTCAGCCAGCAAAAACACAGATTATTCAGCCATATTCTCAGTGTTTTCATAAAGAGGATTTTTCAGAGTAGAGAGTTGCAAATAACTAAGTATCTCCAGGCAAAAGTTACCATTTATCCAGAGGAGTCCCTTCCATTCCTTTGGCAGTTTGATGGGAATGGCTCTGTTTAATCCAAAAAGAGAGATGTGGTTATGAGGGATAAATGTAAAAAATTTTCACAGTGAGGAAAAAGAATCAATGACTGGCACAGAGAGCAATGTTTTTTTCTTTGTTTCTTAATGAGAAACTCTTCCTTTTCTCCATCTTCTAGAGATGGTTTTGATAAAGCTTATAAAAAGGTCTTATGGACCTTTTTGATAAAGCTTATAAAAAGGTCTTATGGACCAAATCAAGCCTACCAGCCAGATGTTCCCTATCAGAACTGGAGGTGGAAAGAATCCCACTCAATACACCCATTTGGTTATCTCTATTTGACCCCCCTCACCAATAATTTTTCAAAAATCAATGCCACCCTTTTTTGTGATGTTGCTATATCACTGCCACATCTGCTGTGGATCTTTGAGGCTGAATATATAATATTAAATCCTGGCTGCAGTAATGTGGTTTCCCTGAGTCAGTGTTTAAGGAAATGTTAGCTCTGGGGGACGTCCAGTTAGGCATCGCGGTGTGACTGGCACAGGAAGATGGGGTTCCATCTTCCACATTCAATTTCACCCTGCTGGGGACCCTAAAAGAGTCAAAAGTCACCCTGGAGAGGCGATGAAGAAGAAGAGGACCTTCGTCAATTGTGGAGGGACAGCCCTTCTGCTGGATCTGAGGAAGTCCTCCAAACCGGTAGGGGAAAGATTGGCTATATTTTTATGGCCAGTCAGAAGCTCCTGACAACTGAAGATAAGCACTAACTAGCAATTTTTGAGCAATGTGGATGGAACTGGGTGAGATTTTATCCTCTTTTTATGACCTTAATACTACTTTCCTGGAAAAAAGAATGCCCAAAGCAAGAATCCTCCCTGATGAGAGAGGGAAGAGAAGTTTTTGCCCCGCTCCATCAGGAAAAGAAAAGTGGCAAATTAATTGCTTTGGAGAAAAAATAGAGAAAACTACAATTTCAGTTTGGAATTAATACAGATATAAAGCTTTGAAATTTGGGGACTAAATACCTTTGAGACTTTTTTTTAGAAAAGATATTTAAAAGTCTGCAAAATAGGCTTGGATTTGGAAACCTGGAAAGTGGTGTCAATGACATCTAGTGCCAAATCATGGCATTACAATTTATTATGCTTAAAGGAAACTTGGCTTGAAGACCAGACTTAGATAAGACTCTGTTGTTCCTGAAAACTTTCACTTTTGCAGACTGCAGCTGGGAAAAGGAAAAAAAAAACCTCTTGGGCTGCTTATCTGTGTTGGACTATAAAGACTACATACAAAAATAAAATGGGTGTTTCATACTTAGCCTCAAATGATAAAAAAACATCTTTAACGCTTGTCTCCGAAGCCCCCAGCTTGATATACCAACAAGAAAATGTTAATGAATCTCAGAAAGAAATTCTTTCTATTTGAAATCAATCCAACAGACAATTATTTCATTTCATGATGAGACTAAAAATAATGAAAATGAGATAAAAGAACAATTTTCTAAACTAAACTTACAAATCCAACAATGACTATAAAGAAGGAATTAGTAACTCAGAAAACAGAAGGAAAATTAGAAGAAACAAGATCTAAAGATGGAGGACCTGAAGGAAGGAATTAATAGACAGATACAGACAAATGAAAAATTAGAAGATGCGGTGATAAAACCGGTAATGGAAAAGATATCTTACTTGTCAAGATCTCAACACACATTTGAGGATAAGGAAGAAGAGCTGATCGAATAGATGATAAAGCTGTTAGGAGAAATGCTGAATACTGACAAACAAGAAAGGAAAAGAAAAACTGAAGGAAAAGGATGGAGGCTGTTTAATGAATATAAATGGGTTGAGCATTCTTCCAAAAATATTTCAATCAAATTTTCTTCCTCGTTCCAAACAATATATACAATCTATATATAATTAGAAGGATAGAATTTGTAACTAGAATATTATATTTTGTTATGAGATGGGAAATATGAAAATTCTAAAAGGGTTGAATAAGGGAAGATTTTGGTTACCCAAATATAATTTATTATGAGAAAATTATAAGCAATATATTTTGAACGTAGATGGGAACTTTTTTTAAAAAAAAGTGGGGAAAAACAGGATATTGATTGACCAAATGGATTTTAAGTGCAAATGCAATTGAGATATGTTCTGGCTAGAAAAGATATTATAAACTGACACTATGTATAATACCAGAAAAATGTGATGAAGATGTCTATACTTAATTGTATATGTATTAACAGTAACAAGAATTGTACTTACCCAATGTGGAAAAATGCATATCACCAGAAGAAGAGAGGATAAAGGAAGCACTGGATGGTGTAGTATTAGAACTAGACTGAGAAAGTTAGTATGTACCACTGAATTACCAGTGGACCCAGGCAACACATTGTTTATTAAGTAGTCATGATTGTAAAATTAGAAAATTAATAAAATATGTATATAAAAAGGAAATGTTAACTCTTCACTAAAGCAATATATTGAGAGTTGTAGAAGTTTATTTTTTCATTATTCGTCTTTGAGAGATAATGGATTAATAAATTAATATAAGTATCTCTAGTAAAATACTTTAGCTTACCTTAATTAAAAGAATTATTAGAATAATAATAATCATTATAAATGTTGTCACCGAAAAAGCCAACAGCAAGTAAATAATGTAGACCTTGCCATATTGTGGAATTCCCTGCTTTGCTGTCTGTAAGGTTAAACAAAGAGAAGCAAAAGCCTTTATGTACTGCAACTTTTTCTTCATCCTGACTAATGATATAGTACTATAATGATATAGTACTCATCAGTATATATCAGACTGTTCTGTAACAGCTTAGTTCTCAGATAATGCTAAGCTAGAATTTGCTTAATTTGAATGTTTTAGCCCATATCATCACACCTATAAAAATTTAGCAACAACCAATCTGTAAACCCATATCTTGAAGTTAGTTTATTAATCCATAATGTTTTTATCAGGTTTTAAAATCTTGAACTTAGAGCCCTGGCTTATTACTGGTTTGTACTTTGCTATACCAGAGACCCAATTCATGGTAAACTCAAGGCAAGACAAAAGCAAGTTTCAGAATTTTTGTTCCCCTCCACACAGTTTTGTAACTTTCCCTAGCAACTTTTTCCCATCAGTTTTGTCTGCTGAATACCAGACAGATAGAAGAGTCTGAAGTCTGTCTGCCAAATCATCTATTATCCCCACAAAACCTGACAAAATACCCATTGGATTATATCAGAAAAAAACCCTATAGGCATGTCTTATAAATGCAAGTTTATAATAAACCCACTTTGGAATTATTAAAGTACAGTGAATACGCAAGTCATATATTTTATATAAAAAAGTTTATAAAACATTAAAAAAAGTCTTCATAAATCACTGACCAAATGTAGTCCTATAAATATAGATGGGAAAAGTATTATTGCTGGTAGGACATGGCAGAAACCATACATGTCAGGGTAAAAAATATTTTTAAAAAGTACTCAACAATTAGGTTAAATAAGCAGTGATTATTTCTTTATGTGCAACACTGTGTATGCATATTACAAAAAATTCAATTAAACTAAATCTTATTTGGTATTTTTTAAATATAGATATCTACTTTTACGTATTGGGGTTCGTGGCATTGAAGCGACACACAAGTTGTTAACCAAGTTCTTTCTTTATTCATTCGCAAAATCAGGGAGAGTGCCTTGTCTGCCAGCTCACTTGCCAGGCTAGGCAGACCAGGACTTCTACTTAATGGTGCCTGGCCTGCCGGCCTGTCTGGTGGGCTCGATAGACCAGGACTTTGATTCCTTTGGATTCCAGGTGACCCACTCTGAATCCCAGCCAGGTTTCCTCGGAGGGGTGGAAATCCCCAAGCCCAATGGTGGAGTGGAATTCTCCCAGTCCCCAATGGACTGCTCTTGGGAATATTGTCCCTCGAGCCCACGACCAGCATCGGAAGTGGCCTGCATTGCAGCAGTGCCCCAGTAGTTCCAGTCCCCCGTGTATGCGGCTGAGGTGCCAGAGTCAGGAGCCGCCTCTATGGCAAACCCCCTCTCAGGAGAATTCCTGTTTGGAGCACTTGCAGAACCCTGGGATGGCCCCCAATCTGTAGAGTTCTGTTCGGAGCAATAGCTGAACCTTGAGGATGCCCTTGCTCATCCACTGGGACAGGAACAGCAACCTGCGAAAATCCACTGGCACTGTAAGTCTGTTTCCCAGGATTTTGACCTGAAGTGTGAGTTTGCTCATGGTCCCCCTCCACCCCAAGAGCAGAACCAGGAGCAGAGATGTGGTTGGACAGCCGCCAATGCCATTGGTCAATGTGGTGCCGAAGGATGCGGCCATCTCCCAAAGTCACTTTGTATGATAGCGACCCCGAGACCTTGCAGACAACAGCAGTGACCCAAAGATGACCCGGGCTATAGTTTCTTGCCCAGATCAGATCGTCCACCTGAAGTCTCCTAGGTGCCTGTGGCTATGACACCTGTGAAGCCATCTGATCTGGATGCAGTCTGTCCAACTTTGTGATAAGGCAGCAACCCCAGCGAAGTTCCGCTGGGTTCTTCCCTGTGGCAGTGCATGGTGTGGTGCAGTGTGCAAGAAGGAAATCAGCTAACCTGTGATGCCAGCTACCATACGTGAGTCTTTTGAGTGCATCCTTCATTGTGCATACCATCCTTTCTGCTTGCCCATTGGTGGAAGGGTGGAAAGGTGCTGACATTGCATGCCTGATCAAGTTGGCCTGTAAGAAAGCCTGGAACTCAAGAGACATGAATTGAGGCCCATTGCCAGATAGGAGGACATCAGGAAGTCCATGAGTAGCGAAAATTCCTCTCAACACCTGGATGGTCCTAGCAGTATTAAGGACTGGAGACAGGGACAACCTCTAGCCACTTAGAGAGGCTATCAGTCAGGATAAGGAAGAATTACCCCTGACAGGGCCCAGCATAATCTAAATGTACCCGTGACCAAGAGGTTTGTGTCTCCTCCCACCTGTGTACCGGGGCCTAAGGCATTTCAGGCCATGACTGTTGGCACACCTGACACCCGTGCACCCAGGCCACCAAAAATGGTTGCGTGCAAGTGCTTTCATGCGCAAAATGCCCGGATGTCCCTCATGCAGAGAGGACAAGACTCTAGACCTCAGTGAGGCTGGGATAACTACTACCCCACAACAGGCACCCCTTAAATGTAGACAGGTCGTGTCTTCTTTGCCAGAAGCTTTGAAACGCAGCATCAGGACATGTGTCAGGCCATCCTGACAACACCCATGTCAGCATGCGTGTAAGCATGTGATCAGTGGCAGTTTCTGCAGCCACGTCCCTAGCATTGAAGGGAGATTCAGGCAGCTCCTGAATGGAGAGAATATTAACAGCAGGGGCAGGATCTGCATTGATTTGTGTGAGAGGTAGCCTATTGAGGCCATCTGCATGGCCCATTTCTTTCCCAGGTTTGTGAATAAGCATGTAATCATATGCTGACAGGAAAATGGACCACCTCAGCATAAGTGGGGAAATGATGTGTGGGGTTTGTTTGTTAGTAGTAAACAAACCCAGCAGTGGCTTATGGTCTATATAAACTGTGAAATGGTGGCCATATAAGAAATCATGAAATTTCTTTATACCAGCCACTATGGCCAAGGCCTCTTTGTCAATCTGAGCGTAATTACACTCTGCAGATGACAAAGTCCATCAGCCTTCAGGAGACTAAGTACTGCTCCTACTCCATAAGGGGATGCATCATATGTGATGCACACAGGCAGTTGCTCATTAAAATGCGCTAATACGGCATTTGATGAGAGCAAGACCTTGACCTCATTAAAGCTCTTGTCATGGACTTTAGTCCACTGCATGGAGCTTGCTTATCTAAGAGCCAGTGTAATGGCTCAGCCACTGCAGCCTTATGGGGAAGAAATGCGTGATAGAAATTGAGGAGTCCCAAGAAAGCCTGAAGCTCACTTTTAGACTTGGGACTTGGAACCTCCTGAATGGCCTTTAGTTTGGATTCTGCAGGGTGGATGCCTTGGGCATCTATTCTAAATCCTAAAAATTCTGTGGAAGTGACTACAAACTTGCATTTGTCTTTTTTCAATTTGAGGCCCGCTTGGCGGAACCTCAATAATACAGCCCTTAACCTCTCTGCCAAATTCTGTGATGACTCCCCTGCAATGAGGACATCATCAAAGTAGGGGCAAACCCCAGGCATTCCTCTGAGCGTGTGTTCCACGACGCTCTGAAATCTACCAGGAGCAACATTCACCCCAAATTGTAACCTCTTTACCTTGAAAGCGCCTCTATAGGTCACTATTGTTTGGGCCTCCACAGTTGCTTCGTCAACAGGTAACTGTTGATAGGCCTGTGCTAAATCAAGCTTTGCAAACAGCTTTCCCCCTTTGACTCACTACCAGTACAGGATATGCGTGTTGTTGCAAAGCTGTATTCAGGGTGCATTTGTAGTTTGCGCAAATTCGGACTTCCCCGTTAGCCTTTAAAGGCATCACAACGGGGGTTTCCCATGGACGTGAGTCCACCAGTGCCGAGATGCCTGCTGGAGCAGCTTGTCCAGCTCTGCATCAATTTTTCCCTTTAAGGAGAATGGCACCCTCCTGGGCTTGATTCTAATGGGTGTGATGGCTGGGTTTAATCGCAAGGAAAGAGGAGGCCCCTTGTAGAACCCAAGCTCTGAGTTAAACACATCTGCAAACTCATTGCAGACTTCTGCAAGGCCTGTAGACTATTTATGCCATTTACTTGGATTCCTAAGGCCTCAAATCACTCAAGTCCAATTAGACTTGTACACTCACTCCCAACAACCACCACATCTAATAGACCCTGGAAAGTCTTATGCTGCACTTTGAGTGTAGCTTCTCCAAGTACTTTGACCCTTGAATTTTGAAAATCCATGAGGATTAAGTTAGATGGCCTGAGTTTGACTCTAAGACCACTACTGCTGCAAATCCTTTTAACGGTATTGTGTGAAATGATCGATGGAGCGGACTCAGTGTCCAGCTCCATCGACAAGGGAACCCCTTGTAGCTTCACATCAACGCGAAGCTTCTTCTTAAAGGATTGTGTGTCCCTGTCCGCAAAATGTTTCTGCACGATGTGCAGAAACCCACCCTATGTTGGCTGGGGACCCTGGAAACTTTCTGAAGGAATTCTTCCCGAGGTTGCACCTGCTGGTGATCCAAACAGACAATGGCAATGTGGCCTTGCTTACCACATGCCCAACAAATGGCGGAGCGGAACCGGCAGTCTGAGTACTTGTGGCACCCTCCGCATCTGAGACACTGAAGGGCTGCCCGGGTCTTGACTGGCTTCTCTTGTGGCCTTTGTACTTCAGGCTGGTGAACTCTTCAGGATCCACGTCCTGCACTTCTTGAGCGACCTCTTGATGGATGGACGCAACTGCTGTAGTGCTTTTGGCGAGTCGCAAGGCCTTCACAGTGCCACCTGCTGCTTCTTCAGCTGCAACTTCGCGTAAGGCATCTTGGAATGTGACTTCAGCTTTAGCAAAGATTTTTTGTTGCAGCTCTCTACTTCTAAGGCCGCTGACAAAACAGTCTCGTAAGTGTTCTTCCAGGTCCTTGAACTCACAAGGCCTGGCAGCTTGTCTCAAGGCAGCAATGAATTCCGCAGCAGACTCACCAGGCTTCTGGTCCCTCTGCTCAAAACCATGCCTCCACACAATTACAGATAGCTTTAGATGAAAATGGTCCTTCAGCATATTCTTCAAGTCTGTGTACGTGACAGACTCAAGCGGCACAGGAGCTACTATATTTTCGGTCACATCAAAAGTATCCTGCCTGCAGACGCACAGCAGGGTTACTGCCTTCAAGCCGTCTTCTTGAACCTGGGTAACTCGCAGGTAGTTTTCCACCCGGGCCATGTAAGAGTTCCAGTGCTTCGGATGAGACACGTCGAATTCAGACAACCAGCCGATCTTCGACATTTCTAGCTTCTCTTAGCCTCACTGCAACTCCGGCTGGGAAGAGGCCCATTTGCCAAGCCCACCTCCAGCATTTGTGTACTGGCAGATGAGTGCAGATCTGGGCACCGACTTCCCAGCTTCCAGCTCTTTTGTAGAGGCTAGGTTCTTCGAGTTGTCTTCTTCTTTGCAGCAATCCCACCTTCATTGCCACTTTTACGTATTGGGGTTTGCAGCATTGAAGCGACACACAAGTTGTTAACCAAGTTCTTTCTTTATTTGTTTCACTGTACCACTCTGCAAATAACAGGCATGCAGGCCTTTTATAGTCTCCCAAAACATCCTATCACAAACCCCCCTTTTCGCGCCTTGCGCATACGTGCAAGGCCAGCACCAACCAGTCTGGTCCCGGGCTGCTTTTAGGTTGCCTGGGACCATTTGCAACATTTCTGGGCCTGCTAAATTGCCTCAGCAGGCCCAGGACACAACATCTACTGTATATTATTGTCCAAGTTTCATTTTCACCTACTGTTTAGGAAACCTTTGCCAAATGTGGTACTAAAAAAATTCTTTAGATATTTATTACAATATCCATTTTGTCCCTTTAAAATAGTGTGTCAAATTTCAAAAGCATTAATTAAGTTGATAAATCAGTCAGAGACAATTATTCTTCATCATTGTCATCATAGTCATCATCGTCATCGTCATTTTCATCATCTTGTGCAGGAAACATTTAACTCTACCATTGTTCTGTAAATCCATTTTCTTTAAACACCAGTTATCAATTTTACACAAGAAATATTTCAGACTCTTGCAGTTCTTCCAATCCATAAAAAACCTCCCTTCTCCGGGGGGGGGGGGGGAGTATATTTGGGTCCACTTACCTTTTAAAAGCAACAACAGTTCTACCAATCTAGTTTTTTAAAAACCATATATTTATATCTGAAATCTCTGATTTAATTCTGATGAATCTCGTTCTGTTTTTCTTTGTTTACCTTTATGCTATATGCCACTCTCCCCAGATGCTGATGAGCATTTGTAAGAACTTTACATATATACACATGTCACTTTTGCTTGAGTACAGACATGGGAATTATAAGATAAATGGTGTTTGCACATTACTATAGGCAATCTAAAAGGGCTTTTACTCTAAAAGAGTAACTGCTCTTACAGAAATGAATGTGCAAATAATTTACACCAATTTGGTCTCCTGGAAAAAAGAGAGAGATACATGTAGGTAATCAAATCTTGGTAAAGCTCCTAAGAGTGTGTTTCTTATGACTACTTATCTAGGTCACTTTTACCTCATCAGAAGGCTTCTTGATAACTTTCTCTGTGTTTTGTTCACAGTTTGGAGTATTTTCCGTTTTTGCCTGCTCGGTGATTATAATACGTTTTACATGGCTGGGCCTTGCTGATCTGTTGGTGGACTTCAGAACAAAGACCACCTTACCAGCCCAGTCCTTATCACTATCCTCCACTACAATAGAAGAAGTCAAAGGAGGGAGCTCTGTTGGAAGATGTAAAATGGAGCGCTTTTGTAAGGAATGACCTGGTGCTCGATGAAGCCTGTTAAGGGAAGAAACCTGCTGAGGCTTCCCTATTTCTTCACCCATAGTATGTGAAGTAGGTTTTACTTGCTCTCCGGAAAGTTTTCCAGTGGTTTTTGCAAACCCTCGCCTTTTTCTTAGGAGTTTAACAAATTCTGTTAGATTTTTTCCAAGCCAATGGTCTCTCTGTAATGTTTCCTGATTGCTCTTTAATCGTTCCAGAGGGCTTTTACTTGAAGTAGGTTTGATTTGTTCTCTTGCATTTTTCCCAGTGGTTTTGCAAATCCTCGTCTTTTTGTTAGGAGCCTAAGAAATACGTCTTCTCCTGTTGGATGTTTTCCAAGCCATTGACCTTTCTGTACTGCTTTATAGTGGCTCTTTAACCTTTCCAGATGGTTTTTAGTTTTCAAGCTGATTTCACCAGAGGGTTTTGAAATTTCTTTAGCCAATTCCTCTTGGATTGCCAACTCGTGAGTTTTCTCTTCATATTCTGCATTTTTTGCTTTGGGAGCCACCTGTAGCCACCTCTTTTCCTTTAGAGGCACTAGTCCCCCTGCCCACTTCCTCCATTTTTCAGCCACTGTAACTGAAGCAAGTTTCCCTTGCTCTCCCTCAGGATTTCCAGTGGTTGTTGCAAATCCTCGCCTTTTTGTTAATAACCTAAAAAATAGGACTTCTTCCCTCGGATTTTTTCCAAGCCAATGGTCTCTCTGTAATGTTTCCTGATTGCTCTTTAATCGTTCCAGAGGGCTTTTACTTGAAGTAGGTTTGATTTGTTCTCTTGCATTTTTCCCAGTGGTTTTTGCAAATCCTCGTCTTTTTGTTAGGAGCCTAAGAAATACGTCTTCTCCTGTTGGATGTTTTCCAAGCCATTGACCTTTCTGTACTGCTTTATAGTGCTCTTTAACCTTTCCAGATGGTTTTTAGTTTTCAAGCTGATTTCACCAGAGGGTTTTGAAATTTCTTTAGCCAATTCCTCTTGGATTGCCAACTCGTGAGTTTTCTCTTCATATTCTGCATTTTTTGCTTTGGGAGCCACCTGTAGCCACCTCTTTTCCTTTAGAGGCACTAGTCCCCCTGCCCACTTCCTCCATTTTTCAGCCACTGTAACTGAAGCAAGTTTCCCTTGCTCTCCCTCAGGATTTCCAGTGGTTGTTGCAAATCCTCGCCTTTTTGTTAATAACCTAAAAAATAGGACTTCTTCCCTCGGATTTTTTCCAAGCCAATGGTCTCTCTGTAATGTTTCCTGATTGCTCTTTAATCGTTCCAGAGGGCTTTTACTTGAAGTAGGTTTGATTTGGTTCTCTTGCATTTTTCCCAGTGGTTTTTGCAAATCCTCGTCTTTTTGTTAGGAGCCTAAGAAATACGTCTTCTCCTGTTGGATGTTTTCCAAGCCATTGACCTTTCTGTACTGCTTTATAGTGGCTCTTTAACCTTTCCAGATGGTTTTTAGTTTTCAAGCTGATTTCACCAGAGGGTTTTGAAATTTCTTTAGCCAATTCCTCTTGGATTGCCAACTCGTGAGTTTTCTCTTCATAGTCTGCATTTTTTGCTTTGGGAGCCACCTGTAGCCACCTCTTTTCCTTTAGAGGCACTAGTCCCCCTGCCCACTTCCTCCATTTTTCAGCCACTGTAACTGAAGCAAGTTTCCCTTGCTCTCCCTCAGGATTTCCAGTGGTTGTTGCAAATCCTCGCCTTTTTGTTAATAACCTAAAAAATAGGACTTCTTCCCTCGGATTTTTTCCAAGCCAATGGTCTCTCTGTAATGTTTCCTGATTGCTCTTTAATCGTTCCAGAGGGCTTTTACTTGAAGTAGGTTTGATTTGTTCTCTTGCATTTTTCCCAGTGGTTTTTGCAAATCCTCGTCTTTTTGTTAGGAGCCTAAGAAATACGTCTTCTCCTGTTGGATGTTTTCCAAGCCATTGACCTTTCTGTACTGCTTTATAGTGGCTCTTTAACCTTTCCAGATGGTTTTTAGTTTTCAAGCTGATTTCACCAGAGGGTTTTGAAATTTCTTTAGCCAATTCCTCTTGGATTGCCAACTCGTGAGTTTTCTCTTCATATTCTGCATTTTTTGCTTTGGGAGCCACCTGTAGCCACCTCTTTTCCTTTAGAGGCACTAGTCCCCCTGCCCACTTCCTCCATTTTTCAGCCACTGTAACTGAAGCAAGTTTCCCTTGCTCTCCCTCAGGATTTCCAGTGGTTGTTGCAAATCCTCGCCTTTTTGTTAATAACCTAAAAAATAGGACTTCTTCCCTCGGATTTTTTCCAAGCCAATGGTCTCTCTGTAATGTTTCCTGATTGCTCTTTAATCGTTCCAGAGGGCTTTTACTTGAAGTAGGTTTGATTTGTTCTCTTGCATTTTTCCCAGTGGTTATTGCAAATCCTCGTCTTTTTGTTAGGAGCCTAAGAAATACGTCTTCTCCTGTTGGATGTTTTCCAAGCCATTGACCTTTCTGTACTGCTTTATAGTGGCTCTTTAACCTTTCCAGATGGTTTTTAGTTTTCAAGCTGATTTCACCAGAGGGTTTTGAAATTTCTTTAGCCAATTCCTCTTGGATTGCCAACTCGTGAGTTTTCTCTTCATAGTCTGCATTTTTTGCTTTGGGAGCCACCTGTAGCCACCTCTTTTCCTTTAGAGGCACTAGTCCCCCTGCCCACTTCCTCCATTTTTCAGCCACTGTAACTGAAGCAAGTTTCCCTTGCTCTCCCTCAGATTTTCCAGTGTTGTTGCAAATCCTCGCCTTTTTGTTAATAACCTAAGAAATAGGACTTCTTCCCTCGGATTTTTTCCAAGCCAATGGTCTAAATGTAATGTTTCCTGATTGCTCTTTAATCGTTCCAGAGGGCTTTTACTTGAAGTAGGTTTGATTTGTTCTCTTGCATTTTTCCCAGTGGTTTTTGCAAATCCTCGTCTTTTTGTTAGGAGCCTAAGAAATACGTCTTCTCCTGTTGGATGTTTTCCAAGCCATTGACCTTTCTGTACTGCTTTATAGTGGCTCTTTAACCTTTCCAGATGGTTTTTAGTTTTCAAGCTGATTTCACCAGAGGGTTTTGAAATTTCTTTAGCCAATTCCTCTTGGATTGCCAACTCGTGAGTTTTCTCTTCATATTCTGCATTTTTTGCTTTGGGAGCCACCTGTAGCCACCTCTTTTCCTTTAGAGGCACTAGTCCCCCTGCCCACTTCCTCCATTTTTCAGCCACTGTAACTGAAGCAAGTTTCCCTTGCTCTCCCTCAGATTTTCCAGTGTTTGTTGCAAATCCTCGCCTTTTTGTTAATAACCTAAAAAATAGGACTTCTTCCCTCGGATTTTTTCCAAGCCAATGGTCTCTCTGTAATGTTTCCTGATTGCTCTTTAATCGTTCCAGAGGGCTTTTACTTGAAGTAGGTTTGATTTGTTCTCTTGCATTTTTCCCAGTGGTTTTTGCAAATCCTCGTCTTTTTGTTAGGAGCCTAAGAAATACGTCTTCTCCTGTTGGATGTTTTCCAAGCCATTGACCTTTCTGTACTGCTTTATAGTGGCTCTTTAACCTTTCCAGATGGTTTTTAGTTTTCAAGCTGATTTCACCAGAGGGTTTTGAAATTTCTTTAGCCAATTCCTCTTGGATTGCCAACTCGTGAGTTTTCTCTTCATATTCTGCATTTTTTGCTTTGGGAGCCACCTGTAGCCACCTCTTTTCCTTTAGAGGCACTAGTCCCCCTGCCCACTTCCTCCATTTTTCAGCCACTGTAACTGAAGCAAGTTTCCCTTGCTCTCCCTCAGGATTTCCAGTGGTTGTTGCAAATCCTCGCCTTTTTGTTAATAACCTAAAAAATAGGACTTCTTCCCTCGGATTTTTTCCAAGCCAATGGTCTCTCTGTAATGTTTCCTGATTGCTCTTTAATCGTTCCAGAGGGCTTTTACTTGAAGTAGGTTTGATTGGTTCTCTTGCATTTTTCCCAGTGGTTTTTGCAAATCCTCGTCTTTTTGTTAGGAGCCTAAGAAATACGTCTTCTCCTGTTGGATGTTTTCCAAGCCATTGACCTTTCTGTACTGCTTATAGTGCTCTTTAACCTTTCGCAGATGTTTTTAGTTTTCAAGCTGATTTTCAACCAAGGTTTTGAATTTTCTTAGCCATTCCTCTGGTTGCCAACTCGTGATTGGTCCTCTTCATATTCTGCATTTTTTGCTTTGGGAGCCACCTGTAGCCACCTCTTTTCCTCTAGAGGCACTAGTCCACCTGCCCACTTTCTCCATTTTTCAGCCACTGTAACTGAAGCAAGTTTCCCTTGCTCTCCCTCAGTTGTTCGCAGTGGTTGTTGCAAATCCTCGCCCTTTTTTGTAATAACCTAAAGAAATGGACTTCTTCCCTCGATTTTTCCAAGCCAATGGGTCTCTCTTATGTTTCCTGATTGCTCTTTAATCTTTCCAAGGGCTTTTACTTGAAGTGGTTTGAGTTGTTCTCTTGCTTTGCCCAGTGTTTTTGCAAATCCTCGTCTTTTTGTTAGGAGCCTCAGAATCGTCTTCTCCTGTTGATGTTTTCCAAGTCCATTGACCTTTCTTTACTGCGTTTATAGTGCTCTTTAACCTTCCAGATGGTTTTTAGTTTTCAAGCTGATTTCACCAGAGGGTTTTGAAATTTCTTTAGCCAACTCCTCTTGGATTGCCAACTCGTGAGGTTTCTCTTCATATTCTGCATTTTTTGCTTTGGGAGCCACCTGTAGCCACCAATTTTCCTTTAGAGGCACTAGTCCCCCTGCCCACTTCCTCCATTTTTCAGCCACTGTAACTGAAGCAAGTTTCCCTTGCTCTCCCTCAGATTTTCCAGTGGTTGTTGCAAATCCTCGCCTTTTTGTTAATAACCTAAAAAATAGGACTTCTTCCCTCGGATTTTTTCCACGCCAATGGTCTCTCTGTAATGTTTCCTGATTGCTCTTTAATCGTTCCAGAGGGCTTTTACTTGAAGTAGGTTTGATTTGTTCTCTTGCATTTTTCCCAGTGGTTTTTGCAAATCCTCGTCTTTTTGTTAGGAGCCTAAGAAATACGTCTTCTCCTGTTGGATGTTTTCCAAGCCATTGACCTTTCTGTACTGCTTCATAGTGACTCTTTAACCTTTCCAGATGGTTTTTAGTTTTCAAGCTGATTTCACATGAGGGTTTTGAAATTTCTTTAGCCAATTCCTCTTGGATTGCCACCTCGTGAGTTTTCTCTTCATAGTCTGCATTTTTTTGCTTTGGGAGCCACCTGTAGCCACCTCTTTTCCTTTAGAGGCACTAGTCCCCCTGCCCACT